GATCTTCAAAACATTAAATTCAATGTCAATCATTATCTACTGTCTTCCTGATTACTCTTTTATTGTTTTTGTTCCTTAATAATATTTCTCTTTTCTCTTATTCTTTCACACTCAGTAACCTCTTTTGTCTTAGTGGCCTTACTACCTTACATGGGGTGAAACCAATTATATATATATATATATATATATATATATATATATATATACGTATGTAAAGCATGAATATCATGTTCAAGCATGAAACAGACTGACCCCACTTTTATGTTTATATATAGAGAGAGATGGAAAAATGTTTATCACAATTCCCTCAAAGTATTTCCTGCATAAAAATTGTGTTCTTTCCTAATTAGGGTGACAGTTATAAAATTGAAGTGATGGCCTGTTTTTTATGTATTATGAATGAGTTTAAAGAGTTGTCCTAACATAAGTTATTTCAACATAAGTTATGGTCATAGATGTGGGCTTATAAATTTGTAGATATTTACACACACACACACATATATGTGGAATCATTCCTCTTTGAAAAGTCTCCAGATATACTAGCTCTGTGCAAGACTAACCTTAACTCATCAATCCCCTCCTCTCATTTCTTTATTCCCGACTACCTTCCTCTCCTTAAAAAGGACTCTAAAATCCACATGTATGGCCTGAGACTTTATGTCCATTAACATCTCCCACTGGCAGGGGAACTCTCTATTGAATCCCCAGACCATTTGTATGTGTCTTCGTCTATCTCTCCTCAGTTCTCTATCATTTACCTTCCTCTCAAGACTGTAGTGTACTCGGTAGTATTTCCAGTAATATGGACAATGCCATCTCTCTACATCTATTTGCACACATATTCATGTTCGGTGACTTTAACGCCCACCATACCATATAGCTTAAACACACTGTAACTGACCTTGCTGGCATACAAACCCTTAACTTTTCAATCACTCAATCCCTCACACAAGTGGTTGACTTTCCAACATGTTTCCCCAGTAATCCTGATGGTAACACTTTCCTTCTCAATGTCTGTTTTACCTCCATCCCTGACTCTTATCACACTACACAGTTCTGCCCTCTTGGTAACTCTGACCATGCTGTAGTGTCTATTATTATCTCCTTCCACTCCCCATCCAGCTAAGAACCTCCTGCTAACAGAATATCTTTCTGTTATCAACCAGCAGACTGGAACTTGTTCTGTGATTTCCATTGTGACATCCCTTGCAATATGGTTTTCATCCTCCCAGCAAGAAAATATAAAGTTAAATTGCACTCATCCCCTTGGTTCTCAGCTGCTTGCTCAGCTGCTATAGCCCATAGGAATCACTTCTTCCATCTGTACCAAAGCGACATGTCTAATTGCAATAAACATCTCTTTCTCTTTGCTCGTAATGAGTGCAAGCATGTCTTCAATGAAGCAAAGTTACTATTTGCTGATAGAATGAAACAATCTATTGCATCTTGCAAGTTTGGTTCTAAAGATTATTGGTGGCTCTTCAAGAATGTGCTGAACAACAGCAAATCTACAATCCCTCCTCTATTCAATCAATTCAAAGTCGTAACTTTATATATATATATATATATATATATATATATATATATGTATGTAAGTATTTATGTATGTATGTATGTATATTTAGGCAGCATATCTCCAGTCAAATATATTTCCTTGTATAATATAGATATTTTATGTTTATGTATTTTTATAATGATCCTTTACAGTTCTCTAATCACATGTTGTCATAAGTACACTAATATATTCCCCTCTGATCTCAATAAAAAATTAAATTAATTATATATTACACTAAATTTAACACAACCAACTTAATCATACACAATAACGCCTCACCATCAACTAGTGTTTCAAATAAGCCAACATTGTATATCACTATAAATGTTCTTTGGGAGATTGTATCTCTGAAAAAAAAAGGTAAGTGCATATGTTGGCTTGATGACAACAACATTATTAAGACGTCTTACACTCCATTTGTCGGATATAAGTTCTATTGCACAACGTCTAAAAATACATTCCTGTCCTCCTTCACAATACAGGGAAGTACTTGTTGACAACACCAATAAACTATACTATGAAAACAGTAAACAAAAACTTCAAATTCTCAAAGCCCTATATATCAAAAGCAACCAATCAATACTCAACAAAATTTATCACAAGTATAGCAGCAACATGTTGAAGCACATATAACAAACATTTAATGCCATTTTGCATTTCTACCAATTGCTCCCTTATATTAGGATGCTTTTTTTTAAAAAATTTCAAAGCTACAACAGATAAATTTAAAACTTTAAAATTATTATAACAGAGCACATTCATGCATGTTTTTTAAAAATTGCCATCACAACAAAATGCAGATTTTATCACAGTTACAATAGGTTTGACTTTGTAATTCATCCCTGCGCATGATTTTGGAGGAGATTGAAAGTACTTGCATACGAATAAACTAAAGCACCTTCCTTGCTAAATTTCATCTTAACATCCAGAAACTGATTTGATGTAATGAATATGTATACACCTGGGTTCCCCCTCACAGTAATATGATTGGCTGGTGTCAGCCATAAATACAGACTGACGTGGAGGTACAGAAGGACACCTATTGGATGCCTATTGGCTATGCCTATAGTCTTTGCCTATTACCTACCACTACAATGAGGTCCAGTCCATTACGGTTACCTGCTAGATTGTCGTACTTGGTTACAGTAGTCCAAAACCACTTTGCTACTTCAAACAAATATATCCCTTCCCGGGAAATATCATGATTAAAGAAGTGGAAAGGATCATGACAAAAATACATATATATATATGTCTATATTAATCAATGAAAGATATTTTAATGTATATATACATAGAGTGCGATGGGTAAATTATCCCTATTTTATATTTTTAATTTGTGCATGCACATTGTTTGTTTTTGATTTTGTCAACTTCACAGTATAGTAGGGTCAGTTGGACACCATCTGTGAGAAAAAGAGTACCATGATGCAGTTCACTCTGCCAGAAATTTTGAAACGGCATGCCAGAAGCTCCAATATAAACACTTCAGAGTGTTTGAACGTCAATCTGAGGAGAGTACAAAGGATTTGGAAAGAATTGGATGAGTCTAATGGAGTAGATGCTTGGAGTGATCACTAGTGATGGAAACATTATGCTTCCATTCATCAGGGACTCAAACTCAACACAGAGGCCTACATCAAGCGCTTTAAGTAGGTAGTGCTGCCCTGTGTGAAAAGGGTGACTGCTGGAAGACCCTATGTCTGGCAACAGGACTCTTCCCCATGGCACACATGCAGGAGAACCCAGTCATAGGTGTCAAGCAACTTCTATGACCACATCACCCCTTATATCTGGCCACCTAACTCCGCAGACTCCAACCCTCTTGATTATTATATGTGGGGTACAGTTGAGAAAGAGACCAACAAAACACCTTGTAACACCACAGATGAACTGAAGGCAAGGATTATGGCATCATTCACCAACTTAAACAAGGAAACTATCCAGAAGAGTTGCAGGAGATCCTGAAGTTGTCTGAAGGCCATGGTTGAAGCCAATGATGATTTCAATGAATAAATTTACTCTTTAGTATTTCAAGATATTTTTGTGTAATTTTGATAAAACTGTTAAAATGAAATGTCAGTGTTATTTTCATTTTAGCGTAATTTAGGCAACAATTTATCCATTGTACCATGTATGCATATACTGGATGTAACAGCAAAATTGTCTAAATCGTGTAAAGCATGCAATAATTGTACATCTCACAGAATGTTTAATATCTAAAAAACCACTAAGCTATTTGAGTTTCTTTTTTTCTAGGTTTTCAGATAAGACATTTAGCCATCTTGACCCCATTTTTTGTAAGAATCACTGAAAAAGACTTTGAGTTATTCAGCTAAAAAGAGAGTAAGTTAAAATTGTTTGTCTTCCCAACTGAACAATGTGAGAGGAAAAAGATCACTCAGGCCTTCAGTAATGGTACCAATATTCATACTCTGACTTTCATCTTCAAAGTCCATTCAAGAACCATCAAGAGAATGGTTAATAAGTTTAAAAAAGAGGGAACAGTAGTGAGGAAAATTGGATCATGGGGTCACAACAGAAAGAGGGATCATCATTTCAACTTAGAACTAAAGAGAAAAAGATCCAGCTCAATTCATAAGACGTTTGGCACATGAGAGAGGAGTTTCAGCTATGACAGTCCAAAGAGCATTGAAAAAGACTTGAAAATGAAATTGTATGTGAAATATGTGAGGCACCATTTTACTCTAAGAGAGAAAGTTAGAAGGTTAGTGAAGGTGAATGATCTTGGAATAATATATATTTGTATATATTTGAACTTAATTTCAATCCTTCATGAGTTTCCAATACTTAGCTATGATTAATTAATGATGGACCTGTCATTTTCATTTATGATAAATTTCATCATGATTCTCCTGTTAAGCTTAGAGAGTAATTATACATTCTTATTGCTTAAAGTAGAGTTCATTAGTATTATAAAAACCCCAGAAACTTCCAGTAAGATATCTTTAATCATTTTTAAGATAAAATGATTCAAAGCTTAATCTAACACATGAACAATTTTGTTGTTGCCCGATTTGGACAATTTTGCTGTTACACCCAGTATATGTCTGTGTAAATTTTTTAACATGATGTAAAATTAGAATCACTAAACCAAATTCAACTTCTCGGGTTTAAGTTCTCATTGTAACAATATACTTGGGAAAGGCATGAATCCACTTCTCCCTACACTCTATCCCATTGTTAAATATACTAACAAAATATCTCATTATTAACAGATAAGATACTGCTTTTGAATGAGCATTTAAATAAATCAGTCACCCATTCACAAAGATGCTACCACCTTTGTCAACTCGAGTTAATCATGCATATTCATATTATATGTCAATTATTTTGCGATATGTTTGACCAGGACATTTTTAGACAACTGCACATCCAACCAGATTTGGCCGTTTTTCTGTCCACTTCAAACCTCAAGTTTGGCCTCTCATATTTGAAAGCAGTGTAATATTTGAATATACTCTTCTTTTTTGTTTGTTTTCAAGGGAAAATGAGTGTTGAAGCAGGCGAATACATTATGCACACACTTGTCAAGGTGACTGCACCTGATTTTCTTTTCCTTGAATTCCCCTTGTTTTATTCTTTTATAAAAATCATTGAATAAAATAAAATAATAGCAGATCACACACTGAGGTGCATGTAACGACCAAGAATAAAGAAAGAAAAACAAGAGGAGCATAAGAAAAAAAAAAGAAGGAAAACAGGTAAGAATAAAATGAGAGAGGAGGAAAAGGAAAAAAGAAGGAAAGATTAAAAAAGAGGAGAAAAGGGAAAGAGAAGGGAAAAAAGAATGTGAAATGGTGAAAGGGAAAGAATAGAGAGAAAAGAAAAGGTGAAAGAGAAAGAGAAATGAAGAAGAAGAAGAAGAAGAAATAATAAAAGAGGTTGAAAGAGACACAGAGAGAGCAAAAATGTCATGGGAAAAAAGAAAGAAAGGTTGAAGAGGAAAAGAACAGATAAAAGGAGAAGGAAGAGGAGAGAAAAAGATGAGTAGGCAAGAAATGAAGAACAGAAAGTAATGGTTGCTGAAAAAGTTAAAATGTAAATTAGAAAGAATTAAAACAACAAAAAATGCCGCAGAGATAAGAAATTTTTAAAAATCAGAAAAAATCCACAAAACGATATTTATTTAAACTTGAGAGATCTCATAACTTTTTCTTTTTGCTTTCAAACGACAGAGTTTTTCACCCTTTATTTTTAACAGTCACAGAAAAAAATTAGAAGAGTGAAAATCCACATACTTTAACTACACAGATAGCTAAGAGTGACCAAAAATATATAAGACTAGAAAACAGTCAGTGAGAGAAACAAAGAAAAACCTTTTCAAGTATCTTCTTTCTTCATCCTTTTTGCTGTAAGGAAACAGAATCTTCTAAAGAGAAAGTATAGTAAACACGGACTGACTTTGACAGATACAATATTTTTTGCCAGTAATTTATGATGTAATAATATTGTCTGCCTAAAATAATACCTTGATCAATGGCATAAAAATAAGTGGCATTATTCTCACAACTCATATCAAGCTGATTATAAGAAATGGAAGTCGTAGATGTGGAAATTCTTATTAAATAGAATCACAGGAAAACTTGTAAAAGGAAAGAAACAATGTACTGTCATTTATATTATTATCAGTATTATTGTTTTAGTGGTGGTGGTTGTAGTAGTGGTGGTTAATATCTCCATTTGTGCTACCATCGGTTTCCGCCCAAACCCTGACATCTAGAATCAACACTTTTACTGCCATTAATCATACTGAATACCCAAAAAAAAGCAATAATTTTATTAAACAGCAACAAAAATCAAAAGTAAAAAAAATTCTTTAGATAAGATAATAAATATGCAATATTATGTAAAAATGGTTGGCTGCTCATTTTCCAAGTATGCCTGCCTGCTAGAGTGACTAGCTAATCCCTGTTGTAGACTCCTGCTCAGGCCCATTTGTGTGTCTTCAACACACACACCCAATTTCTGGTTTATACTGCAACTATTCTGAACAAACCTTAGTAAACAATCTCTGAGACAGTGCACATAATCTGGCTCAATCAACAGTTTTGAACAAGGCTCTGTCACGATGACTCACTGCTTTATTCTGATAAAGCCAGCAACAGGTTCTGAAAAGTTCTGTCTACCTAATTTCAGGCTTGGATTAATCCACAGTTTTTTTTTTAAACACCTCCCGATGGTGCCACAAGCACATCTCCCCACAAATTGATATTGTCGAGAAGTGATCTCTTTCATAAATTGACATTGGTGAGATTTGAATCCAGGTTTCATGACTAGAATGCCAATATTCTAACCACTTAGCTTTGCCCCTACAACATATAATGTGTATATATAAAATAAGCGTATACTCACAACTGTAACACAAGCATAGATTAGAAAAATATAGTTACAGATTTAAAAGAGATCTAAGAATATTGTCTTAATTAATAGGAATATATGCAATGTAGTGAAGCCTTCTTTCTGAAGTGAGAACAATTTATTTATGAAGCTTTGTTTAGCATGACATACAGCCACAAGCTGCTTCCAATAGCCGTGGGCGACTCATACCATCATCAAGCCAAGAAATCTAGACAATGGATATCAGTTAATATAAACTGAGGTTATTAGGAAAACGATGGATTAATTGAAATAATAAAAGGATTTATTCATGTTATTCCCAATTAATAAAGCAATGAAAATTGAATGAAAATGGCATATAGATTTTGAATTGACAGGTTCTGAACAGTTCTGTCTACCCAATTTCACTAATAAGGCTTGGATCTATCTACAGTATTGTTTACAAATACCTCATAATGGTGCCACAAGCTAGGATCATTTCCCTACAAATTGATATTGTCAAGAAGTGACCTCTTTTATAAATTGACTTCATTAGTTATCACCTGCTGTTGTTGTGTCTAGTTTGAAAAGGAACAAAATACGGTGTCATACATTTATCTTGTACCATTTGATTCCTCAATAAAATAAATTTATAAAAATTATATAACACACTAATGCCTTCTTCTTCTTCTTCTTCTTCTTCTTCTTCTTCTTCTTCTTCTTCTCGATCTGCTTGTTCTTATTCTTGTTCTTCTACTTATTTTTGTCCGGATTCTTCTTCTCCTTCTTCTTCTAGTTCTGCTTCTTATCATTCTTCTTCTTTTTCTTTTTCTTCTCCTTCTTCTTTTCATTCTTCTCCTTCTACTTCCTCTTGTTCTGCTTCTTATCATTCTTCTTCTTCTTCTTTTTCTTCTTCTTCTTTTCATTCTTCTCCTTCTACTTCCTCTTGTTCTGCTTATTATCATTCTTCTTCTTCTTCTTCTTCTTCTTTTCATTATTCTCCTTCTACTTCCTCTTGTTCTGCTTCTTATCATTCTTCTTCTTCTTCTTCTTCTTCTTTTCATTCTTCTCCTTCTACTTCCTCTTGTTCTGCTTCTTATCATTCTTCTTCTTCTTCTTCTTCTTTTCATTCTTCCCCTTCTACTTCCTCTTGTTCTGCTTCTTATCATTCTTCTTCTTCTTCTTCTTCTTCTTCTTTTCATTCTTCTCCTTCTACATCCTCTTGTTCTGCTTCTTATCATTCTTCTTCTTCTTTTTCTTCTTCTTTTCATTCTTCTCCTTCTACTTCCTCTTGTTCTGCCTATTATCATTCTTCTTCTTCTTCTTCTTC